GTTCTGTTCTTAGCTTAGACACGAGTGTGCTTGTCTCTGTTTTGAGTTACAGTATCCTTACTGCACACCTCTTCTATTGGATTCTGTTCCAACTCATTTTCTTTTTCCACCTTCGTCTGTGTCTTGCTTATATTATTTTGTGCTGTGTTACATTAAGTCAGGCTATATTAGCACACTTTGCCTTAACAGCGTCGAGATTTTGCTCACAAATACCAACAAACTGTAGAAATCAAACCTGGTTGAGGACTAGGAATGTAAATTAGGCTGTGATTTGGGTGAGTGGGGTAGCGGAGCCGTCTCCACCAAATAACTTTTGGCTGATGTTTTACAGGCCGACCGTAGTGTAGAGAGGTGGGTTGATGGTTCCAGAGGGTTAATGAGTTCTATCAGGGACTACCGAGGCTGCAGTTTGTGACATCGTGGAGGAAATGCTGGAATAAAAGAGGGATGGATGTGACTAATGGGGCAAAGTGGAGTTAAATCATTTTGGGGAATGTGTCCGTCACACTTGTTTCTTTTTATTTATGTTCTGATTCATGTTTGACTTTGTTGGTTGACTTCAATGGAAAACTGAATGCAGACAAGGGTAATGGAGTTATACAACAGTCGGTGTGTGTCAACGGACCTACCCATTGATTATTTCTTAGGGGTGTGAGGGCAGTTAAACGTTAACCAGAAACGGGAGCAGCTTGATGTGCTGTAGCCGTCTGTCTGTTTTCTACGATTGATGCAAAATACAATTTCTTGGACTGATTCAAGTTTCGTGATCCCTTTCTGGGACGGTGGTCATTCATTATACAGCAGCAGCAGCAATAGCAGTTTAAATAGATCACATGAAAGATGTTGGCACAGATGATTTCAAGAGAGTTTGAAGATTCAGGTATTAAAACTGTACTCACCCTATTATTCCACCTGAACACATACAAATGGGAATTTAAAAACTGAAATATGATATAAACTCCAGCTGGGCCAGCAGCGTCTTGCTTTGTTACTTACTTTCCTAGAGGACACTGAGAATTCTCATGCCCAGCTGTCAAAGCAGAAACACGGTTCACTGCAGGACATTCATCTGCCATCGATCTTTCCACAGCAACTAACGCTGCCAACGGCCTAATTGGTCAATAGATTAAGTAGTCATATGGGGGACGCGGCAGGGGAGAAAGGCACGGATGAGGGGTGGCAATTAGTGGGTGACTCCGACAGAGTCACTTTGTATACTTTGAAGAAAACATCAGTATAGACGGCTCCCTTTGCTGTGATTGTGTTTACTTTGATGTTGTTAAGAGTAATTGTTTTGGGGCAAAGTCTCATCATCATCACGGCAAAAATCGAATGGAAAAATTCACTTCATCACTACATCATTATATATCAACATAGTTTCGAGAGAGTGCTTATTCACACAGGCAAGACAATTTAATGCATTTCTCTGAAAGAAATCTCACTACACTAAACAATCTGAGACTTCTTCGTCAAACATCCTACCACACCCTAACAAATCAGTGATTAAAGAAGCGGGAGAAGTTAAGACGAACAGGTACTGCCTAAATTCATAGGTTTTAAAGATGGAGCAGGAGAAAGAAGAGTGGATGAGAGGAAACATAAACAGTGACACTGAGGGATGAAAAACCTGCTGAGAGAGACATTTAGTCATCAGCAAGTGGCAAGAGAGTTGGCTCGATCCCCACCTCCCCTCCACCTCTCCTCCACCCCCCCTTCACCCACCCCACGCTACAGAAAAGATTTACTTGTCGTCGTGCCGACAAACCTCCTCATTATCATCTCTCGTATCGCAGGCACCACCGGAAAGCGATAAGGATGGAGAGAAAGAGGAAAACAACTCGGATGTACAAGCCTCTTAGAAACTATTTTTCTCATTACCGCGTGCTGTGGTTTATTGTGTTTACCTGTCAAATTAAGAAAAACGGGGAGAGCGAAGCGATGAGCTGGCTGCCGAGGCCGCCCGAGCTGCTCTCTGTGCGTCGGGCTGGACACGACTAGTGGCTGTCTGCAGCTCAGTAACCCAAACACACAAACCCACCAGCCCACACGGGCACGTAGGGATTCCAGCTCTTCCACACCAGAGAGCCGTGATGCACCGAATCAGATAGAAAAAAAGACAGTTCAAACCTGCGCACATAGACACACGTGGGTATTAATAATAAAATGCTGAGATTACAGCTAGAATAAATAGACATTTCCAATTGAATATAGATGAGTACTTGAAGCTCGGTGTGCGCTCTGAATATGTTGTGTCGTGTGCGTCAGCGGCTGTGTGGATTCGTGTTTGTTCGAACTGGGGTGTGTAACGGCACGCGGCTGAAGCTAGATGGGAAAAAGTTCAAATGCATCTCAATGTTTGGCCCAAGACGTTGATTTCCATTTGCCTGTCAGCTTTCTTCCACGGCATGGCGAGATTGATTTACTGCATTGTTGCCCCATGGGATAAACACATGAAATGCATCAAACCGGCAAGTGGAACATAGAAGCACAGGTGTGTATTGGAAAGGGAAACCGACCAATGTTAATTTTATTCTGTGAAATTGACACCTCCGTCCCCCTGGGATGAGCTTCTTAAGGCATCTCTTTTTAGGCTCCTTCTTTACAAAGCATCTTCTAGCAGGCCCGACCAAACAGAGCTCTGCAAAAATGGTTTACGGCGACAGGATTGGGACCCATGACTGGGGTTAGACGCTGCCAATCCTAGAAAAGGATCCCGGATTTGTCTGGAGCCCGGAAGGAAGTTCTGTCTGCGTCGCTCAAGCCAGAGAAAAGCCAGAGCACATGGCACACAAAGTGCTGTTCTACACTCGGATGGAAAACAACCAGTGAGATGGAGGAGAAACCAGGGAGGTACAGGAGAAGCTACATTTTCAAGATTATTGCAACCAAGGGCCGGACTTCTCTGCTGCTTCTGCTTTTCACAGTCCTCAAATGCAGACTATTCTTTTCAGAGATGGTTAAACTACCAAGCTATTCTAACAATACTCTTATTCATATTTAATTTGCCTAGAACAAGAAATAAAGTCCCTGCAATGACGTCAAGTTGTGTTTCTGTTTTAAAAAAAAAAGGTTTTAAGAAGAAATGTAACCGACACCCACCATGTTTGACTGGAGCACTGATGTCATCCACTGCGCGGAGGCATCTTTTGTTCAAAAAGAGGACATGCACACAGGCTCATTAGTGTGCATGTTTTTTTGTTTGCATATCCCTTTGTTGGTACAAACATATACCCTCCACACAGAGGTCAGAGTGTGCGGTCAGCACCGTGCAGGGCCCCAGGGCAAATGTTCCTCTGAAATAGCTGTAGTTTCAAATGCCCTCTTAAAGAATGACCTAGACCCTGAAAGCTGCACACCATTGTAGTTGGTGTTTTTACAAGAATGAAAGCCCCTCAGGACCAGAGTGCAGTTCAAAGAAGTCTCACAGTCAGGCTGGAGCAGCAGATATTAACATTCCTGATGTTTTTCCAAGCTCGGCAAGGTGCAGAGAATTGCCTGCAAAGTTAAAGGTATACTGCACATCGGAGACTGAAGACTATCAGCCTCCTAGTCTGGAAGAGCATTGCCAAGGCAGCCTGTGGTTCTTCCTTTTTATGCTCATGTTATGGAGCTATAGAGGCATTTTCGAACTAAGGTCAAATCAAAGGCAATTCCACCCAATATTCAAACCGCAAGTGGGATGCTGGAGATGAGCTTATAGCTATTAGGGTGCTTAAGTTTTTATTTAGTTAAAGATTTTTTGAACTAAGGCAGCTCCCCGTGTCGGCTGGATCAAGACCCTCCTTAGCAAAAGGCTTAATGCCTGTCAAGGGGGGTATTCCTGTGTATTCATGACGATGTTATGTGTAGAGTTTCAGGGAAGGTTTCCTTTCCATCTCGCTGCACATCAGGGAAATTATCTATTGTGGTTATGTTTCCCGTGTGGCTCCTTGCACAGAACCAAACCCATGCAATGCATCACACAACAGAATACGCGTTCAAAGCCCCCGCACGCTCTGTATTTCACATTCTCTCTGTGAATATGTTGCACCCAGAAATACCAGCTTGCTTTTTTTGTTCGATTAATAGAAATAAGGAACCATGTAGCTCTGCGGTCGTTTAACCAGGATTGTGGTTTCTCCTCCGTTTTTCTTCCATCTGCACCTGGAGGGCAGACGGAGTAATTATTGCGTGCACAACATTGGTGCTATAAAACACAACCCATTGTTTTCCTCTGTGTGAAAAAAGAAAAGATGATGAGCTTTTATTTGATGGGTTGTTCAGGGTTTCAAAGCAAACAGAACACCGTACTGTAATGCTACAGCCCAGCAGGCCTCCCTCTTGTTTCTAATGGACATTTTTGTTTCTCATGAAACATGATGTCCATTATATTTGAATTATATGGCACTGAGAAACTGCACTTTTTTCCGGTTTTCTCACTGAAACGTCGCCTTTCTCCTGTTGCATGTCTTCTACCTGCGCTGTCCTCTGCATCCTCCTACGTCTCCTCCCTCCCTCTGAGTCATCGACGTCCTTCGGTGACTCATGCATTTCCTTGCCTCTCTTTTCCCTTTCACGCGCCCTCTGCGCGTTTGTGTGATGGAGTGAGTGTTGTGATGCGGCTCCACTCAGCGGGCGTTGCTCAGTCAACTTGCGGCTAGAGAGGGGTACAGGTGGAGGAGGTGGAGGAGATGGAGGCCACGAAGACAAGGAAAAAAATAATGACCGGAAAAGTAGTGGTCAAAGCATCTCTGCGATACTTCACTGTGTAAAATACTTTGGACTCATTAAAAAAATGTATCTTTAAGATTTCAAGGACAACACTCAAATTGAGGTAATTACTGATGATACGTTGCACCTTTGACCGAATCTACACATGATTTAGTAACGATTAGGATCAGTCTGAGAGATAAGGTGATGAGTTGTTAAACTACGTTAAACCTTTGTTAATCCATCCAAATGTTCTCTCTTATTACACCCGACCGTCATCTTTAACCCCACGTGGCTTTGTTCCCCTGCAGAGTGCCGTGATGTGCTGTTACCCATGATGCTGCGGGAGCTGAGCGGGGCCCTCGCTACTATGGCCGACGGGCCTCACGATGAGAGGAGAAACAGTCTGGAGCTGCTCAACAACATTCTGGAGGTGCTGAGCAGGGACAACGTGGTGAGACGCACAGCTCATTTCATCGCCCAAAAAACCCCCCGTAAATCTCACAAATGATCGGTTTTGCAGTTATGCAGCCAACTTCTCAGAGCTTGTCGGGACTCAAGGTTTTGTTAGGATCGGCTTGCCTGCAGGCACTGTGGAGCTCTGTCGACTTGGCTGCTTATTGGGCTCTTGTGGATCTGCACACGATGAATCGAATAAGAAACCTGAAGGGACAAAACGCACATGCGTATGCTTTTGTTTTTTCGATTTAGGCCGGATAAATGAAAACTGCTCATGCGGGGACGACAAAAACAGCGAGTGAAGGAGCAGGAGAGTCAATGAGTGACGGACGTAGTTGAACACGTTTGTTTCATAGACGATAACAAAGAGGAGATGCGGGAAGCTGTAGAGATGATGAAAGTGAAACAGAAGGACAGAAAATGGATGAGGAGGAGGAGATGACAGACAGTCACCTCGTTGCTATCCATCGCTCACTTTCTGCATTCTCTTCCTGTCTCTGTCTCTCTCTTCGTTGCTCTGGGTAGCACGATTAAGTCGTCACACCACAGATGCCTCCCAACTAGAGAGGAATGAAGAGAGGGAGACAGATGTGGATGAGACGACTCCGCAATAAACAGATGCTGGTGTGGGGTTCTTTGTATGGAAGATGTGTGTGTGTGTGTGTGTGTGACAATGCTAACAATCAGAGACAGGGACGCATGAGTGCCGATGCTCTCTCGCTTTTGTCCTTCCCCCCTGAAAAAAATGTTTCGTTTTCCACGTCACGTCGCCATAGAGACGATAAACCAGACGGGCTTCAGTTTGGAATGAATGAACAGCATCGTGGTTCACGGCTTTGTCTTCCAACTCTCTGAGAAACTTTCCAGAATACCAAAATACCCACAGAGAACCGAGCTGGGTGTGTGTGTGTATCAACCTACACATGCATGTGCTGCCTGCAGTACATTTAACTTGTGAACACACTTAGCTACAAATCCCACTGGCTGTAAATGAATCCCACAAGACATAACCAGGAATCAAATGTGTATCCGTGCGTTAAGAGAGTGGACATGTGGCAGGTGGATTTTTAATAATCTATTCAAATTCATTATGAATACGTTGAAAATCATTCCCTTTCTTTTTGTGCGTCGCTTTTGTTGCTCTCCTCCGGTGTCTATTCTCAGTCATTGTCTTATAGGAACAACAGCTGCGCCTCACTCGTTGAGTGTGTGTTTGTTTGTGTGCGTGAGAGAGTTTGAGGCAGGCTGAATGGAAATGGTATTCTTGATGACACAAGACACACACACAAACGCACACAACTACTCACACAGACACACCTGAAGAGTTGACGTCTGTGATCCAGCTCAATGTGGTTTAAACTCGCCTACCTGATTTTCATCTTTAAAATCATCAGCAATCAGGCCGGCGCACACACACACACACACACACACACACACACGCATGCCAGAGAGCCGTGACATTTTGAGTCTTTTTTTACTTCTGTTGTTTTCAGCTCTCCAGTCTTTACTTTTACGCTTTACTCATCGGACAACGACACAAGAGTACACAAACGCAAATTTAGTTTGTATGCACACAATGTTGCACACACATACACACGGATGCACCTCGGAGCATTTTGGGTAAAGTGTGTTTGGATGCAGCAGATGCTTTACTGCTGAGTTTCCTCCAGGCAAGTCTGAGTCAGCTTCCATTGACCGCTTCACTGTAGCTTTGTGTGTGTCTGCGTCTATGTGTGTGTGTGCGTGCGCGTGTGTACCTGTGTGTATGTGAGGTCCTTTGCACATGGATACAGATGCTATTTTGAGAAAGAACCTTGTGCTCTTTCCATGTGTCTTTAGTCAGAGCACGTTTCTCTTGTTCCACATACTTCATCAAGAAATAATTTCTTTTTTTTTTTCCTCATTAGCACAATTTCTGAGATATTACTCCAGGTTCTTTTTTCATCATGTATTGACCAGCTTTTGCATTTCCAGTATTAAAGTAATACAGATGAATGCTTGCTAAAAGGGTCCAAAGTGCAGCAGAGCAATAAAATGCAGAGAAGATCCTTCTAGTTATGCCACTATGTTTAGATTAAATTGTTCTATCAATTCTGATTCTGATAACACAAACAAAAAGTTGCTGGTTTCGATGTGTACCTGCTCTTGCCATTTAGTTGACGTGATATTTTAATGATATCAGCAGGAGCTGGTCTGAGCAGACCGCTAGGTCCCTCTCGTTTGCCTCTGGCCAGATGGAGAAATAAAGGATTACAGATAATTGGTTTCAGAGCGAAAGTCAGGAATACAAAAGCAGGTCTGCACAAAGGTAAAATCCACCTCCACGTGCCTTCGAGGTGCAAATGTCCACACTGGAGGTGATTGACTGCATGTCCATGGTGAGGCTCCGTTTCTAAACAGTGAATGGACTTCAAATTTCTCTTCCGTGTTTTATTTGATCTGCCAATCATCCTCTCAGAGGCCCAGTGAAGCTTTGGACTGTGGGTGTTTTCTCTGTGAGGAGAGTTCACAAGAAGGCGAAATAGCTCTACGAACAAAGTATGTGTCAGACAAATGTCCAACATTGACTTTCCTCTTGCTTTCTGCTACATCTCTTTAGGGTGAAACGTTTCAGCATATCCAGGACATCGTGGTGTCTCTGCTGAGGATCATCAACCGGACATTCATCACGATGGGTCGCGAGCACGCTCTGATCGTAAGTAAATGCACCTCTGCGCCGGCGTTGTCTCTGCCTGTGCCTTGACTCAGTCATTGCAGAACCTTCTTTCCTGTCTTTTGTTCCCTGGCGTTTGAAGTGGATGCGTGAAAAAGCCAACGCTGTATCCACTCCAGCCTGCCACTCTTAATTGCTTCTTTTTCTTTCTGAAACCTATTACACTGGCACATTTTGTTTAAAATACACACTTTTTATTGCACATACAAGAGGAAGATCAGGGAGATAGTGGCATCATGGGAGCTGTTTTGGTTAATTATTAAGTGTGGCGTCATCCAGGAGTCTGATTGGCAGCAACGTATCAGCCAGAAGCAAGTGGATGTAAGATGTATTCTGTATGTTTTAAACATCTATTTTTGTTTCTCTATTATAGCTTAATGAAAACTCTAGCAGTAGCAGTGTGCCCAAAATGCTAAATAGATATGGAAATTATTATTTATGCTATATTAAAAGTGAACAAGGGGATGTAAGTTGTGCAAAAATTTCAAAAAGACTTTGGATCTGCATCCGGCGGTTACTGGGTGCCCGATTAAATGAAAGTAATTATTTAGGCCTTTCCATCTGTTGCACGACAAGAGCGCTGCACTGTTTGTGTACGGTGAACTTGGGACTCCACATATTCGCCTAGTTTGTACAGAATGTATTGGGGCATCATTAGCTAAAGCTTTACAACTATTGATACAATGTTGAAACATTACTACAGGCCAATATATGGAGTTATAACTTTAGTTTGCATTGGTTTACGTGTGTGTGTGGGCGTGTGCGTGTATTGAGTGCTTGCTTGTGTTTCAGTGAGCAACCTGCACTTGTGTGTCAACACCTATAGCAGCATATGCCACTTGCACAGGCATTTGTATGCACGCGTGTGCTGGAAAAGCCTTGAAACTTGCTTGACCTTACGTCAAAACACTCTTGTTTTGAATGGTAATAAAGGAGAGAATCAATCACCCTCCCTGACAGAATGCGTTATCATCTGACACGGCCCGTCAGTCAGCGATCAGCTCCACATCTCACTGTCTCTTAATGTATTCTAAACGCAGTCTTAATAGTCTCCACTGCTCTGCAGTCTCTTTGTTTCCATCAGCTCATTTTCCACTCATACCCTCTTTGCTCTTCAGTTGTTGATACATTCAAAATGTGCCTTTCAAGCCGTCCAAAGACACAGTATGTCAATCAGTTGTTAGATTGCTTGGATTTTCCGTCTTGTTGTGACACCCCTCGCTAATGGGTGCCATTTATCCAAAATGGTTGTAAGTATTCATACCCAGCTTTAGTGTGAATCCCTCTTGGCTTCGATCCGTTCATACATCGGTCCATCTGTTCAGGCAGCTCACTCAGCCGAGTGACAAAAACAATATGCACGTCTGTAATCCAAAGTGGCAACGCTTCATCTCTCTGTCACGGAATTGCTGTGTGAAAACCGTCCCCTCACAGTCAGAAGTGAACCACGGACGTGAACTGCTGAAGTCTGGTCCCGCAGAGAGGAACCCGTGTGGATCCGCTTCTCAATAATCCTTTTGAGACACATCAGAAAGGGAAAGTTCAGCAGCTGCTTTGGTCCTGTTTCCATCTTCAGTGCATTTCTTCCCTCCCCACTTGGTTACCTGCTGTATATTTCCAAAGATGAGGATGTGGGGGAAGTGCCATTTAATGGGACGCACAGGACGCCGGCGCTGCTTCAGTGGTACTCAAACACACTGCACACCGACAGGCCCGAGAGGGAAAAGCTTTGTTTCATAACTGCTGGGCCTTTGGTGTCCTATAACGCAATCACCATGCGCCATGTGGAAGGTTGTTCGTGTTTCCAAGTACTACAGCCACCAGAAACACTTCTTGCGAAGTTTCTTGACGCGGGCCCTGGCGCTGGGCCGACTGGGGAAGGAGGAGGCCTGTGAGGCGGGGGCGAGCTTGGTCGGAGTGGGTGCAGGTACATCGCACTCCCCCTCCAAGGCCTCCAGAACCCCCTGGAAACGTCCCTCCTGTTGTCGGAAATCATGCTCTACGCTGCAGAGGAAAGAAAGAGAGAGCAATTGAAGGGGGGGGGGGGGGTGATTTAATGCGGCGATAGATCACAAGCTGGTGGGAGGAAAACAGTCGAGGGAGAAAGGGAAAAAAGAGAGCGGGACGGGGAAGCGAGCAAAAGAAGAGGAGAGGGGAATTTGCTAAATGGAGGAGCTAAAGGAAGCACATTTTTGGGGCTCTTCTGATATGTTCAAAGCAAACCCTCATGGCTTTCTTTTTCTATGCCCCTGTCATTCCCCCTCCTCGCTCGTGCTCTTTCCCCCTCACCATCTCTCTGAAGTGCCCACCGCTTCGGCTCGTATAGTGTTGGTGGACTTTGAGATTCTCTCTGCTGTCCGTGACTGTGTTTAAGCGCGTGAGGGAATGAGCGTAGATTTGGATTACAGGGGCGGAGCTGCACGGGACGTCTGGAGTTAATGAACCACAGGGAGCGCTAATACAATAACCCTCCTCTAGTAATCCAGCATCCCAACTCACACACACACACACTGCGCAACCCCATATGTGCTCCCCTGACACCACCGACGTGTGCATCTTCCACAACAAGCCTCACGGCTGAGCGAGCGAGGGGAGGCAACTTCTATAAGGAGAGAGGACAGAAGATCACTCTCCTCCAGGAGACAGAAGGATTGCTAAATGAAGGGCAAGGCAAGCTTTAATAAAACAGGGCAGGTCATGAAGGAGAGACACAAAGAGGCAGAGGGAGGTAAAGGAGGAGAGGATAAGTGCCACCAGCGGCGAGGAGGGAATAGAGGCGGAGGTGGAAGCTCCGATGGGCAGAGAGGGGGGGAGATGGCTGCCATGAATAAATGATGGAGGTGATGTACTACTTTGTTACTACACACACATACAGACACACACACACACACACACACACACACACACACACACACCCTATATATAAGGTAGGAAGGTAAAGTGGTGCACTTGTCCAACAGCTACTGAATTTGTGTTTCAGAGCGGGGGACTTTCCTGTGTTGTTTTTTCTTTAACGCACACTTCACTAAGTTTCGACCGCCCCCTCTTTCATTCCTCCCCCAGTGTCTCCAGCCATATCTTTACCGTCATCATTGTTTTCGTGGGGAAAAGCTGCTGCCCTTAATTCACTGTGCAAGCTGTCTTTTTCCGCCTCTTCACAACGCTGTGTGAGACTGTGTGTTATTGTTGATTCTATCCTTGTGAAAACCTGCAAAATGTTACTTGAAGGGTGGGTGGACAAAAGCTACGCGCGTGACAGGGTTAAGATGGATGGAAGATGGAAGATGGAAGTTCCTCTCCCCTCGTCTCTCCTCATGCAGATTAATAAGGACACACAATGGCAAAACGTCTTCAGGCAGACAACACTTAAACCACTTTTTTCCACAACAATTCATTAAGATGGATGTGTCAGTCCCACAAGTAATTCATCATCTGCATGAGTATCTCTCTCTCAGCTATATGACATCTTTTTTTTACCCAGAATCCTCTCTGCGCAGGCTTTCGACTTTGACTTGTTTTTGTCAAAATGTGCATCTAAAAATGTCTTCTGCTTACATGATGTGTGTAATTCTTGAAAGTATTACGCCAATATATGAAAAGAAATCACATTTCCTTTCATATATTGGCCCATCAAGAGGATTCTGATCATCTGTCAAAAATCATTAATAGTATGCAAATTAAAAGCTTGCACTTGCATCAAGCAATAGAATCTGATTCCCTTTATTGGTGGATTGAGTAGCATTTGTGTATGCATGAAGTATTGCTGGGTACAAATGAACGGATACTGGAGCGTGAAATAAAATGTCTGAATTGGATGATTATGCAGCCACACACTCTTCAGATTGAAAATACATCAGTCTAATCTTGAAAGTCTATACTGTATTATATATTCAAAGCTTTGATGCTTTTTGGAATCTTTTTTTTTTGCCTGCTGCGTATTCAAAATGCAGTTCCATCACATTCAGGTGAGAGAATGCATCTTTGAGAGCAGGCTGTTTTAATAAAAAACAAAACAAGGCTTATCATGTGCCTGTGTGTTGCAATGCAGGTGTTTCATCTTTGTTTGTAAGTGGGGGGAGTTAATGCATGTTCATTCCCATCTGCCTACATCTTCATGAATATATGGATGGGATTGTATGTCGACATGTGACAGTCATTTCCCCTTGGAGTTCATTATTATTTTGCCAAAGATCCTGCTGTGTTAATAAAGATCAAGGGCAGCAGAGAGTTGTGGAAAGTGAGAATACAGAAGGTGTGTGCATGTGGAGCTGCTGGAAAACCTGGAGAGATGAAGGCCTTGTAAAATGTGTCTACACCCCCTGTGGGCCTGCAAGAAAGATGTATCTATATTTATGACTGTGAACAAGCAGATCTAGCTCCAATCATAGCGTTTGTTCTCTGGTTACCCGCACAAAAGTGTGCAAAAAGGAGGTTTTTAATGCCGGATTATTCCTGGCAGCAATTAGATATTTTCTGATGTAGACGGTAAACCACACACTTGGTGGTTGGCAGAGACGGGGCAGAGTTTTGGAGGTTGGTTTGCCAGCAGGTCAAAGGTTATTATAGCCATGACATTTGACAGATGGAACGAGGATGTACAGCGGAAACCAGTTGGATTGAAAGTTGGGGATGAAAGTAGGAGAGCTTGAGCAGGCACGTTATGATTAAAAGAAGGGATGGATGGGACGAGGTGATGGGAGGATTAGGGAATCAGATTGTGAGGTTGCAGAGGATCTAGGAATGCAATTACTTATTGAGGTCACACACCGAAGGATGACTGGAGCAGGAAAGACACATCAGTTACTGTAGGTGTGGAATTAATTTGCTTGTTTGCACAGAAGATTCTTTTATGTGTAAATAACTTTGCTGGAGAGAGCGTCCCCATCTAATCTTTTTCAGAACTGATGATACTGAATTACTTATAGCCTAACATGTATTGTGTAATAGGGATATATTGTACGAGTAGCACGATTATGAGAGGAGGGGAAAGGGCAAAGAGCGGCAGGATACCAGGATGTAAAGCTAATATAAAATCAAATGATAACGATAGATCTGCTGAATAAGTGAAAAGAAAATGGGGAAAACCAAGTGATGAAATACAAGTTTCAGGGCTGTTTATTCTGCTGCAGGAAAAGAGTGAGTTGTCATTGCATTACACAATGCAGTAAGCTCATTATCTTGATGGGGTTACCTGTAGATGATGCAGGCTGTCTTTTGGCAGGTGGGGCAGTTGTTAATGTCCTGACCCGTTCTGTATGAGCTGCGACTGCAGAAACAACACATGTAAAACATTTGCACACACATGCAGTAGATGCTCAAATAAACATGCTCAGCTGGTCCAAAACATACCTTTTTAAGAGAATTATATTATTTAGTTATTTAATTTGACCCGTCCCAAGCGCAGGGACGGGTTGGGTAGTTGGGAGCCAAACATCACAAGTTTGATGTTGCATTTGTCAATGAACATGTTGTATATTTTACCGCAGCTATCCTTCCGAATGGTGTGTGCAAATAGACAAACTAAGCATGAGCTGGATCAAGCTTACTATACGGAGCCTGAGCCTTGTTGGGAAATGAAGTCGGATGAAAACATTGCATGCTTGCTGCTGTTTAATTTGGACACTTTGTTTTGCCAAGATATTCTGGCTGCCCCTTTACTGAACTGTGCAGATGGGAGATAATCTCATTTATGTTGCAAAAACAGACATTTTGATTACATGGAGGGACACCGTGTGACTGGCATTATTTCTCTCCCCTACCAGTCTTTATAAGAGACAAATGGCACAAGAAAAGACAACTATCTGCCTCGGGAGAGAAAAGAAAACAAGGAGCTGAGCACAGCGACAAGCTCTTTGCTCAGCTGACATTTTTATCACAGCAGCTCACTTGAAGCGCTTTCATTTCTGGCACAGCATCAGACACATGTAGACCCCCTTACTTGCTGTTTATCTTTACCTCCTCACTCTTCATGTCCTCATCCCTCCATTGCGGCCTCTTTCTGTCTCTCCCCTTCTGTTTTGTGTGCCTTTTGTACACTATCTGTCACCTATTTATAATGAGGCATACACACATACTGAGAAATGTGAATATACACAGTGACTCACACAAGGCAGGTCAGCGCGTACAGTACACGACGCAGTTTAGAAGCCATATTTTGCATCCTGCACAATAATTACATTTATTGAGGTTAATATGAGTGGGGTTAGTCTAAAGCTAGAGAGACATATTGCTAAGAAGCAGGTAAACCTGAGTAAGGAGTAAAAAAGAGGCTGTGTAGGTGGAGAAAGGATCATCAAAGAGCATTTTAAGCAAAGGGGAGAGAGGTGTTTCTATACAATTATCTACTTCCCAACATCAGAACAACTCGAGGTAGGTTATTGGAGCTGATGAGACCACCGATGGTTATAAAGGATTTGGAAAGAGATGGTAGAAAGGGGGTTAGGACGGCAGAAAGACATCGAACATCCAGCACAGGAGAACGAGCTGCTGACATTGAAGGTGAAATGGTGAAGAGGAGGAAGAGGCGTCAAAGGAGAGAAACAAACAGAGTGACAGCCAACACATGACAGCAGGGCAGAGTGAGGGACAGCTTGTCAGGTTTGGAGAGAAGGTGGAAATCACAAAATGGTCAGAGGGGATATTACTGATTTAGTGGCCACAGGCATAATTCACATGCGGAGGTGCAAAAAGAGTTAAGGAGGAAGAGAGCGAGCGGGGATCCATTAAGAATGTAGGAATGGTTGGTGTGAAAGCAGGATGTGAAAAAGCTTGAAGTAGGTGAAAGAGCCTCTGGGAAAGGAGAGCCCGTTGATTTAAACGAAGGGATTCACGGGGAGAAGCAATATATGTCGAGGAGAATTTGAGAATAAAAAGCTCAACAGAAGAGAGGAAAAAAAAGGAAGTGATTAGTTTGCTTTGGTGTAGAGCTAAGGTGTCTCCCTGGGGTTACATACCCTTGAAGGTGACGGGAAAGAGGAAATCTACTAGCACGTACAGGCTGGTACGTATGACATGTACATCAATCTCACACACGCATGCACACTACAGCAATTCTCCACCGGCCTGACATTTCAATTCTATTACACAGAGTTGACAGCCTACTGGTACATATTGCTATAAAACTTAAATGTACTCTCCCCTTAGTGTCAGTGCTCCCGCTTGACACCCTATCGTCTTCTTCTCCCTCTCTCCCTCTCTCACTAGAGCACTTTTGCAATTAATATCTCTGGATCTGCTTTTTTTTTCCTCCATCATTGCTCCCTGTTTTCATCCTTATCTTTTTCTCACTCTCTCTCTTGGTGTCTAATCTTCTAGTCTTGTCTCATCACACCACATCCTCTGGTCACACCCCCCCCCCCCCTCCCCCCATTTACTTCCCTCTCTCACCCTTCGCTGAGGGCCTTGCTCTTCTCCAGGTCTTGAATGACGTTGAGAAGCACTTTGATCTTCTCCTGATTGGACTGCAGGTTCTCCTCCACACTGTGCAGCTGCCCCTCCAGCCCGCGCGGTGCGATCCCCGCGGGTCCAAACAACATCCCTCCCGGAGCCCCGTTACATTGTGCTTTCATATGAGTCCTGCAAGGCTGAGTGTGGTCCTCAAAGGATTTGCTCTTCTGTCTTGCGCCGTCCTTGAGTTTGATCCGCTCCGAGGATTCCCGTTTAGGTGTGTGTGTGGGGTCCTGAGTGTTTTTAGGTTGTGCTACAGGTGTGGCCGGTTTGGAACGAGCAGGCTTCGGGGAGCATTTCGGCGGGAGAGGTGGGGTGTCGGTCGATTCGAAGTCGCCGTGAGGGGACGGAGCTGTCTGTTTAGGAGGGACACAGACTGATGTGTGTGGGTGTGTGAGTTTATCATCGCGCTGGCTGTCGGCCAAGTCGTACTTTTGTTTGTCAGTCAAACGGGCCGCCGCGGATGGTGTTTGTGGGTGCTGCGTGTGCGTGGTAGCTGTGGTGTTGTTGTGCATCTTTGAGTCCGTTGTTTGCGTTGCTGAGTCCTTGTAATGAGTAAAGTCTGCAGAATGCGGCCTCGTCTGCTGTTTGGATTTGCTGTTTGATGTGTGGTTGGAGTGGGAGCTGTGTGTTTTTGGTATAGTGTGCGAAAGCTGTGGTACCGTGCCCGTGGGCGGGTTTCCCGCGTCTGTGTTTTTGCTGCATTGCTCAGGGTCCGCAGCGGATACCTTTCTGGACTTGTTGGGTTTCCGTGGCGGATTCGGTAAAGTCTGGCTGGCTGTTATTTGATTGACGGCCTTCCTGCGACATGCGCCTGTGCACGGTGTGATCTGTGATCGTCTCCTCCCACATGTCCCACAAAGACTGGGTGGGGAGGTCGGCATCAACCGGCAGGGCCGCGGCGGGGTGGCGTGAACAGTCGTACAAGCACCGCCGCTCTTCAACACGGAGCGATGGCCCTCTCCTCGCAGAGACTGCACCCTCCTTCTCTCTCTGGCCGGCTCCTCCCCTTCTGCGGCCTCGCTGCAAACTCCTCCCACTGCATCGGAGGCCACCACGCTGCCATTTGTGTACCTAGCTGTCCGTTTATTTCTCGTGTCCGTGGGGTTTAGTGTCTTGACCTGGCAGTAAACCCGGCTGCCCGGCCCCTGTGACCCCATGTTGCCCTGTGTCAGGCTGTTGATCTCGTTCTGCGATCGCTCCTTGGACACTGGCATACTGTTGCTGTCACTCCCGACGACTCCCGCCTTCTCCGCTGACGCTGTTTTGCAGGTTTCCGTGGTGTGTGGCCGATGTGTGTCGGTTGGTTGGCTGCCGTGTCGTTTGACGGAGGCGATAGTCCGCAGTCCGGGAGATGTTTGCACGCCGACACTGCACAGCGGGCCCCATCGCACCCCTGCCAAGGGAACCCCCAGCGCAGGCACTGGATTGGTTGGGTCGGCCACCCTCCTGCCCATAATCCTCCGCAGGTTGGCTCAGCCCCCAGACGAGCTGAACATGATGGAGGCGGGCCGTGACATCAGCTAACGTCAGCAGGATTATACCCAATTCAAACCCAGAATGCATCCAGCTTTTGTTGGCCAAATGAAGTAGCGGGTTTGTGAGGTAGAGTGAGAGTGTTTATATGTCAATGCTGGAGACAGGAACTCAATATCCAATACGATTTTAAACTCTCAATGTTCTTCCTTTAATGACCTCCTTTAGATTAGATACTACTGATTGGACATCGCAGTCGAGGCTTCTCTCGGGCCCCTAACCGATGGCCCGCAGATGATGAGTTGGACGGAGTCCATGGGCACCGTAGGTTTGTTCTAGAAAGAGGGAGAAAAAGAGAGGCCCAATGAGCGAAACGACAGGAGAAAGAAGGGAGACAGGAAGTGCTTGTCAGATTAGCAGGAAGACACAGTCGTTGGGCAGGTAAAGCACCAAATAAAAGCTTTAACCAATACTGAAGGCACACATTGACCGGATTGATAGAACCATCAACCTCTGATGAGACCAGCAGGTAGGTGGGAGTCACACAGGCAAAACTCTAAATCTCATCAGTTCATTTCTGTAGAGGGGGCTGAATGAACTGGTAACAGTTTCTATCTCTAGTCACAGTTTGTCATTATGTCTTTGGTTAGTTTGGGACTGCAGGTGGTCTTTCATTGCGTGATGACACAGCGTGACGCATTTCAAATGAGGTAATGTTTTCCTCCCACAGCAGTATGTAAACGATGCATCGTCCTTCAACATCTCTCACGGAAACAGGTTTGAAATCTGTTCACTGAGTGTAATGTAATCGTAAACTCTCAAAGATAGTTCCATTGAGGAAGACAGTCATGTTGCCTAAATGTTTTTTTAATTGTGTGTTGGGTAGGAAAGGTTATTTTGAATGCCTGGTTTTTAATTACTATATGGTCAACGTTTAATGGCTAAAGGAGTAAAGTTAGAAATTAGACCCACTTCAATCACTAGAGACTAAACTCTTGCATCATGACACTATGATTAGCTGCCAAATTTGGGGCAACGGATTTTTCCTTGGGAGGAAATAGGGTCACATCATGAGCACAGATTGGCTGCAAACATTAAGGGGCCAAAACGACTAAATAAGAGACCAAATCCAGGTTGCCACACTGTCTCTTCACATAATACAAACATTCATTTAAGAAATTTAAGAAATGTTGTACATCAAGGTCAGAAGTTGCAGCCAATTTCTTCCTGCGCACCTTCATTTAAATCCGATCCCTGGCCAAATCGGGGAGCGAATATGCTGGAGTCCCAGAATATTTATGATTTATAATAGTCTATTTAAGGCCAAATAACTAATTTGTGGATGAAATTGAGCTAGTCCAATAAATCAGTAAGCAAACTGAATTCATTTTTCTGTTTACCACATTATTGACACACACACACACACACACACACACACGCAGAGAAAGGAAAAAGGGCTTATTTCGGGCCAGCTGGTACAACATCACAGCGCAGATCCTGGCTGTAGGGTCAAGGTTGTTACAGTATTTTTTTCTTTTACAAAATAGGGGAAATATGTTCCTGTTAGTTAAAAAATTCATGAGTTCACTGTGGAAAGAAATCCATTAGGAGGCCTGTCTGAACAGCAAAGACTGACGTCAGATTCATGCTCAGGAAACGGGCCTTTCAGTAGTGGCCTCCTAGTTAAAGACGTGTTCTCAGTAGCGGACTGAACGCGGACGGCGTGACCGCGACTCGTGTTTAAGCCGTATGTCACATGCTGCTTTGGCGGCATGTGCAGAATGGAAATGGCCGTTTTAGCCCTTTTTTATTTCTTTATTTCCCTGACAGCGAGTGTAATTAATTTAGTCAATCTCTTTTGGAATTTCAGTTTTCATTTCTCATGAATTATTAAAACTGAGCGAATGCAGTTTATTACGCTGGTGGGCGTGTCCATCGACTGCTGTATAGAATTGGGAACAGTTTAAATTTAGAATGTCCTCCGTCTGTGTCTGGGGTTTATGGGAGTATCTACGTGTCGTCACACAGTACTCGGTGGTTTGTGCTCAGCTGTGTTTGTGAGCTTTACGTAATAATAAAGATCAAAGAATTTCAACTTCAGGGACATGTTGTTGCTATTTAATTGAAAATGGTGGCAGTGTATTTGGCTCAAGGGCGGCTACTATACCTCAGCTTATTGGGTCACACGTAATTGAGAGTCCATACTGTTTTTAATTGGTTCCCGTGGTAACCGTGGTAGAAGTCTTGGATTCAAGCACACACGGGTCCTGACCCCAGAGTTCAAACATCCCTTCAGTTGTGTTTGTTTGTGAGCATGTTGCAGCCCACAGAGGGACTCGGCGTTGAAATTTACCGATGGAAGGGGAAGTTTTTGTGTGCAATGGGGAGCATGAGGACCGCAGATGTTCCTGTGAGTGTGTGTGTGTGTGTGTGTGTGTGTACATGTTGTCGAGCAGTTTGCCGTGGGATGATTCAGATGAGTCAATTCAAGGTAATTTCTCTGCTGCTCATTTCCATGCATTTGTCTTTCCCTCGGCAACCACAACAGACATCAGAGCACCTGCTGCAACAATCTTCCTCTCCCTCTGTGTGTGTGTGTGTGTGTGTGTGTGTGTGTGTGTGTGTGTGTGTGTGTGTGTGTGTGTGTGTGTGTGTGTGTGTGTGTGTGGGAGGACACATGCTTGCCCATCTCATGTCTCACTCTTCACCCTCTGACCTGCAGGCTGTCAGACGGTCAGTTCCCTCTCTGATGCCCACGTGTCTCTCCTCATCATTCCACCACTCTATTGGTCCCTCCGTCTCTCTACACCTAATTGGGCACCGCTCTCCTTCAGTCGCCTTCGTCTTTCATCGTTACCCGAGTTGGATGTCGCACTTTTCCCACTCACCGCCCCGTTTTCCATTTCTGTCATGCTGCCTTTGATTTACTGTGCAGTTTACCACTCCCCTCTCCCTCTGTCGCTATAGGCTCCTTTTTTCTTAAACTCTCGCCCACATCGCACCTCCGGCTGGGCAAACTGAGCGGGCTGCAGACTGGCAGGTGACCGGATGAAGGGGAGGCGACAATAGAGGACAAGCGGGGGGGCAGCAGCGCCGGGAGGTGCAAAAAGGTGGTGGAGGGATAAGGGGGAGAGAGCAGATGAAGGAGAAGGCTCACAGACGAGATGAAAGTGATGTGCGAGCATCTGGTGTCAGTGTGTAAGACAGCGTGAGAGAAGAAGAGGCTCATTTTGGAGTGTTTGCTGGAAGAATAAAGAGAGGAGCATGACGGAGAAGGACGGGTGCCACGGAGACCGTGACATTAAAGTGGAGGAAGATGGAAAGCTGGACACACTGCTTGCCACCAATCAATGCGCTTGAGCCTCTCTCACCCGTAGACACACACAACCCCTACACACAAACACACCAACACAAAACGCCTTTACACAGCAGGGTGTTCATGAACAGTTCATGACATCGGTTTCTACGTTTAACCGGTTTCATTTACGCTAAGTTTGTGGATTTAGGGTATTCAAGAAGTCTACAGTTGAAGCAGTCTGAGCAGGGCCTTGTGTGTGTGTGTGTGTGTGTGTGTGTGTGTGTGTGTGTGTGTAATTGTCCGTGTGTGTGAGTGAGTGCTCACCCACGCCTTTGCAGCAGTAACAGAGCGCTGAATGCTCCAGCGAGTCTAGTCCTCTGTCGCTTCAAGGTGAGCCTCATTTTTCAACTGCCGATTGACGTGTGTGTGTGTGTGTGTCTGTGTGTGTGTGCGTGCGTGTTTTAGGGAGACTGAGACTCGCTTTACTGCTCTGTAATCACCCTCCTTTCTCACTCACTGTCGCTCGCCCACTCACCACCAGAACAAACACATTGCTTTATTGGCCCTTAGACAGGGCGCGCACTGCATTTTGGGTAATGTAGTCAGATGTTTTTCTCTGCTTTTTGGGCGCAAAGCAACAACCGATTTACTATTTCTTAGAATTTGATTTTTACATGTTGATGAAAAGGATTTAGGATGGTTTATTGCAGCAATTTTGCTCGGCAGGAACAAGGCGCTACTTTCCAAATGAACGCGAATATGTGTACGAGTCACTTATCCGTCCTGATATGAATAAAAGCACACAATCTGAACTAATTACATGCACAATAATTTATCTATGAATGACTGGAGAAAGAAACTAGAGCGGGATGTTCGCTCAGGAGCCACAACAATCAGCTAAGTATGTGTGTGAGCTGTTTAATCATTAAGACCTTGTTTTGATGTGATTGATGGCTTATAAAATACTGCCGGCGTGGTCAGCTGATAGGGCTGCCAGGCAGGTCAGTTGGGCTGAACGGCTCATAACGGGTACCACTGCTCTGCTTCACCTGAACGAGCATGGTAACGGCAAAAGTCAGCAGAATTACAGAGAATCCTGTGTAGCAATATAAGGTTTTCCCGTCCAATGTTCTACATGTAATTGTAGTGAGTACAGTAACGGACGGAAATGGACCAGCGTTGTGCCGAATGGAGAAATATCAAATACTTCTGTTTGTGAATGACAATATGTCTTTTGCAAGCTGCGCTGCAGTGTGTGTGTGCACGTTTTAAACATATGTTACTACTGCACTTCAGAGAGAAGGAAAGGATCCAGTAATGATCATCAAAACAACCCGGAAGCCGGCTTAGCGTCGTGAAGCCGGTTTTGTTGTGCATTTTAATTGGGTTTATTGTATTTTTCAGGCAGAGTGCACTTTAGACAGAATTTTTTCAAGTGCCACTAAGGTGAGTGTTCATTTAACAGACGCCAAGTATCTCGGCGAACTCTGCGTCATCCTATTTTGGTTCTCATTGAAGCAGGCCGCACGTTCCTCGCTGATTCCACGACACTCGGGCTCCTCTTCAAGGCAGCTGGTGCAAACAATGAAAACAGGGAAACGCACAACTCAATCTAGCTTTCCACATTCACAAAACCTTACTCTATGATTAAAAACTGGTATATTGCAAAGGGCTGTGATCCACATCAACGGGTCCCAAACTTTGAGACCGAAATGATCGCTGACCCTATTGCTCCTAAATGGGCTTTGGCTTATTTTAAGAGCGTACAGGGGACACATTAACAAAACGTGACTTTAATAGGACACGTTAGCCTGCGAAGAGAGAGAACAACCTGCAGGTTTTCACCCCACTTGAGTCAGTGATGTGTGAGATGTTGGGAGCATCACAGTAAATGGGACAATGATAGAAAGCCCTCGTTCCACACCGACAGGAAAAGGGCCAGTCTGACATCAGTCCTGAAGGCCGAGATGTCTCATCGCTCCTTTGAGCGTTAGGTGTTATTATCACCGGCTCTGACCGTCGGTACTTTTTGGATCCGCTGAGCTCCAGAGAATCTCCCGATCAGGGAGGCTCGATGTGTTTGTACGTCCAGATGTTACATCATTAGCTCTCTGGAAGGTTTTGAAACACGTAAATCAACAACGTGACGCATCTCGTGGCTTCCAGTTCTGGCCCTTGCAAGAACTTCTCTGCCTTTTGTTGTTGATGAACCACAGATGATTTAACTCTGTTAGATGCACACTAGCTTTCCTGAGAAATAAAGTGTGATATCCATTTAGTTTAATTTGAAATGATTGGAGCCATTTCACTTGTGCTTTGAGTGTTAACAAATCCAGCTTTTTCTGAAAAGGTTTTTACCACTTCTAGTTGTTTACGAGGGAAGAAAGTAGGACAGGACGTGACGTGATGTCTTCTTCCACTCAGAGTGGGAAGAAAATAAATCTGTTGGGTTTTATGGTTCAGGCGTATTTAAAAAGCGGTACCAAGGAAAGGGCTTGAATAAAGACAAGGATCATTGACATAACCATCTCCGGCTTAATTCATTTGTTCTGTGTATTCGCTGAGCACCGCAGCCGAGAATCCAACGGGAGACGGAATGTGAATGAGATTTGTCTACAAATACGGAGCAGCGAGAGATAAACACGGTGAAGTGGAAAACTAGATCTTCTAAACCATCAAGGGAAAATAAAGCCCATTAGTTAGTCCACGAGCTGCAGATGACCAGACACACACACACACACACACACACACACACACACACACACACACGTCGTATCAGTATGCTAATAGATTGTGATACTGCTTGGTCTGTTTTGCATTTTTCTTTTTTTTATTATTATTATTATTTTATTTTATTTTTGATTTTAACTGCACACCGCCCTCTTTCCGTCACCTTTTTATCTCTCCTTTTCACCTGCCGTTACTCTCCATTTGTCTCTCCTCTCCCTATCCTCCTCTATCATCTCGTCTTTCTGTCCCCTACCATTATCACTCATCCTGTCCACGGATCCCATCCGATCTCTCCATCATTACCCCCCCCAGTCTATCTCTCCTCGTCTCATCCGTCCATCCTGCTGCCCCCCTGCCTGACCTCCCTCCCTCTCCCTGATCCATCTCCCGGCTCTTCTGACTGTCTAGTCCTTTTCTCTTTCACCGCATCTCATCGTCTGCTCACACCTGGCAGTGTCTGTGACTCACACACACACACAAGGACACAATATGAAAGACTCTTTCTCGCTGTCAATCTCCTTTAACCTTTATATCTCTTTCTCCCCGTCAGCCGTCATTCTCGGGAGAAAAGTGGTGCAATTAAAGCCAACGCTGTTGAATGTCCAGACCTATTGATTGGCTTCCCACAGCCTCTAATTTGCATTATACTCTCTCAAATGATTTCCATGCTGCAGTTGTTTACAATATGCCTTTTGATCTACTGGTATGAGTTGAATATCAGACATGTAAATTACTTTTTTTTTCATCACTGCCAAAACAATGTAAGTTTTTATTTGTTTGTTCAGGACTAAAAGCAAATATACAACACTACTAATGGAAAACAAGGAAACATAAAGATAATAACAATCAATCAAAATGAATAACTCATTTGTCAGAAAAAGTGGAATATGTATAAATTTGATTAGTGCAGACTGCATCATTCTTTCACCCCAGGAAGAAAACCGAGAAAAGCACTTGTAGACACACACACGCACACACACACACACACACACACACACACACACACACACACACACAACATCTCCCTGTACAATCAAGGACTATTGCATTCACTGTATATCAATAATGCTTCAAACCGTACGGGTCTGATATTTGTCTCTTATTTATAGAGCAAATATTTTGCAAAAAGGTAATCCCAACTGAATTAGTATTTAAACATAATGAAATAATAGAGAAAGAAAAGACACCTACAATGATTTTGTTACTCTGTCTTTGACTTGATGTGTTTGTCTGCGCCAAGACTGTTTGATTGTGTAACACAAGCACACCTGCATGTCAACAAATCTTAATTTTAACTCACGTTTCAAGCTGGCCGCTGAGGTTACACTGTAGATTCATGCGCACATGCAAACACACACATACAACAACGCAAAGATATACAGCGGCGGCATTAGTATATAAGAGAAGGGTTGTTGCAGTATAATCCCATATTAAGATACACTTTTAATAGCGAATGGACACGCAAAAAAAAATCTGACGCACACACAGACGCGCGCACACACACGTTGCACATTGAACGAAGCATTTGGACTCCTTATGGAATGCAAAAGTTAGAACTGATGTTGTGCGGTGAAACGCAAAATAAGCGCTATGCACATAATCACTCCCAGACGTAATCATATGCAGCAAATCCTTCTGTGACAGATGGGAGGGATTACCTACCTGCCACACACACACTCACACACATATACATGCACACGCAAATGGACTAATGCATCAGACTGTTTCTTTGAACACAAATGTGCACAGGCACCGTCACTATAATGAATACGGCGTCCTGAGGTGGATGCACACACCTTTGGCAAAGCTACAGATTGTGTACAAACAAGATGCCCAAAACGAAGCCAATGGCTGTGTTGTTTATGTTTTCAAGGAGGCTTCCACAGTCCAGAGGTTAAACCTCTGGATTATTCCATTGGGCTCACTGTGGCTCGCTTCCATACAAACAACAGTGCATCCATTCAAATCCTGGCCACTGTCTCAAGTCTTGAATGAGCTGCTTTACAAATAAAGAATTATAACCGCCAGCTACGCGATAAGCACTTCAGGCTTGCACGCTCTCACTCACACACACACACACACACACACTTATTGTACACATCCTGATCTCTTCTAACAACTGTCTTCCCTTTGCCTCCTCAGTCACTTACCTTTTCCTGTCCTCCCCTTTAGTCGGCGTGCTTGTTCTCCATGTCGCTCTCTCTCTCATGTGTGATAGTCCTTAAGTCCGCCGGTGCGCTCAGCTCCGACCCTTTAGCGCGCTCCAGCCTCTCTCTCTCTCTCTCTCTCTCTCTCTCTCCGTCTCATTCTGTTGCTACTGATCCCCGCATGCTGGCGGAGCCCAGTGATCCTCCCTCCTCTCCCTCCCCCTCCATCCCTCTCCCTCGCTCTGATTTATCTCTATCTCATTTATTTCTATGCCTACTGCTATTCCTCCTCAACCCTTTGTCTCGTCAGCTCTCACCTCTCACATCCCGCCGATGTGAATTCCTCCACACTGTCTTTCACTCTATTTCCCCATTTCTGTCACTTTAATGGTGGCTCATGCCCTGTTTTTATGTGTGTGTGTGTGTATTGACCCTGGCATGGTGGTAGAACAGTAACACCTTGGCAGGCACGGAGGTATCTGGAGCCAAACAAACACACCCTTTGCCTGCTCGCACACAGTCGATTCTATCAGTCGCTTTATTTATAACTTTTCAAACTCCGTCTAGCATTGCTTCTCTCTCTCTCTCTCTCTTCTCTCCCCCGTCTCCCCGGTTGCTTCACCTGACTCTCCCCTTTGAGCTGTTTTTTTGTCGCTGTCCTCCCTCCTCTTTGCCCCACTTTAGCCTCCTCACGCCATTCTGTCCTCCTTTTCTTTTTTTTTTATCTCCATCGCTCACGCTCACCTTCATCCTCTGAGTTTGACTGTCCCACCTCCCACCCCTCTGGTTGCCTCGGTCATCCTTTTTGTTTCTCTGCTACTATCCACACCGGCCAGGGATGCTGCTGCTTTCTTTTCTTGAGGCAAACGAGACGGAAAAAACCTCCCAAACAGATGAATAGAACGTGAGATTAAACGCCATACGACGTCAGGCTCTAATTATGCTTAATTGCGACGGCGCTCTTTTTGTGCACGGCATGACTGTTCGCCTCTTTAGTTATGAAGGCAAGTATATTTTCTTTCCAGTGAAGTTTTAACCTCGAAATCCGTTGGCTTCATTCATTTGGCTTCGTTGCGCGAGCACGTTGGCTTCTTTCCTTTTTTGAGGTTGACGTCAGAGATACAAATATAGCAAAACTGTTTGGTGGGTGAAGGTGTGTTTTGGTTTGGTCGGTGTCTTGTATGTACGGACAGTCGTTTCATGTGAAAGTGTGTGTGTGTGTGTGTGTTGCCACTGGTCTCTTGTTGCAATATAAGCCCCCGTTGACCTTTCCCCAACCTGAATATGACTGGTAATGTATGCGCCACTGCAAAGTGCTGGACTCACCTTGTGTCGTGTTGCAATTGACCTCTGATGAGGCAAGCGATGGTAGGTGTGCGTGTGTTTGTTTGTGTTTGTTTGTGCATGAATTACATGAGCGGTGCGAGCGACAAACACACGCACATACAACGATGACAAAGCATGAGAAAGCTGTCTGAAGCTCGGGGGTCACGGTGATATCATTTTGAGGTGGGGATGAGAAGTCTGTCATTGAGGAACAGGAGGAGCGCGAGTACACCGACTGACCTTCAGAGGAAAGTTTCTCCCCTCTTGTTATTCCTCCTCCCCTTTATCTCCCTCCCCTCTGTTTGCCGTCTCTTCCTTGCGTGGATCACCTGATCCTTTCTCCCTGTGGTCGAATCCGAGGATGCGTTGATCTCGCGCTCAACACGTCACTGAAATTCAAACCCATGTTCGCTGTGTCTCAGACAGACACGGCGTCTCGTCATCCTGAGACGTACAGCCACTCTTAATCCCGTCCTTCTATTTCAACCCCCCCCCCCCCCCCCTCCACTTTCCGCCAGCTGTCCGGCAAAATGTGCGTTATAGTCACAAATTACAGAGCGGGGGCTGCATTGGTGCGGTGATCGAGGCTTCCTCTTTTGTCTTTTGTTCATATTTCTTTTTTATATGGGAAGTGTCACATCTGAGAGCAGCATAAAGTACTTCACAAAAAAAAGCAGACACGGGAGGAGGAGGAGAGGAGGAGAAAGGCTGAGGAGGTGCGCCCCGTCAGGGTGAAGGGCTGTGAAAGGCATCAGTGGGCCTAATACCAATTCCACTGTCCCACGCTGTTGAGCTTTCTGTCAGGGGATTTTAGTGGGAAGAGACTTTGCTTAGATTTGCTGGATACATGACGTTATAACTCGTCTGTGACAGTGTGACCGCATGGTGTCGCGTGTGCGTGTGAATGAATTACATACAATCATTTTGAGGCTTTATCACCACGTTCATCACGGCTGTGTCTTTCCCGGGTGACGGTGACGCTTTGTTCTCCACAGCCGATTTAATGGAGTCATTTAAACACAACAACAACAACAACAACAACAACAACGGGATGTTGTCGCAAACTGGCTCAGTAAACCAGTAAGCGAGTCCATGCAAGAGATTCACCCAAAAACCCTGAATTCAATAAAACTAAAGTTTACTCAAACAAACAATACGGTGTGGAAATGGGGAACGTCGCCAACGGGCGGTTCGCTAGTCGTGCAGGTGAGTTTTTAGGTGCTTGTCCTTTTCAAGCTGGAAGTACATTATTAATGAGAGTGTCCAGAGTGAGGAAATGGATGGATAAACGACGGAGAGAGGAGGAGGAGGAGGAGGAGGGGGGAGAAACCCCAGACCTCGCCAGCATTTGTGTCCTTGTTTAGTCCGTAATCTCCTCCCTGTTGCGTAAGGCCTTTGCCTCAGCAAGCCCTATGCTCTCTCTCTCTCTCTCTCTCTCTCTCTGTCTCCCTGTCTCGGTCCTGTAACGTGTTGATGAAACACATTCATGAGTGGGGACACAAACACCTGATGACCGGGCATTTGGCCCTTTGAGCGCTTGTGTCTGTGTGTGTTTCTAGAAGACGTAGGTGATTGAGTCGTCTGAGAAGAACAATTCCTCAGGAGTGGGGCGACACAACGTGTGACCTTCACACAGACACACACACACACACACAGTAGACGGAGGAGAGGACGCAGGAGAAGTGATTCATCCTCTATCCTGTTATGCTTTCAAGATAACTCTCAGGTACACTACTTCTCCACGTTTTTAGTGCCTCTCAGTGAGTAAAGACATTGTTTACAGACGATATGAAACTTAACCTTTACTCGCGCTCCTCGCTGTCGAATCACATGAGAATTGATTTCAGAGTAACTTTGAAGGAGTGTCGGGGAGAAGAGGGAAAGAAGAGAAGAGAGATTGAATGAGCGGTCTCACACCCATGAGCATGAACAGTTTGAAGTCCAACTGAAAACACGATTGGTGTGTGTCTGCCGTCATACTGGCATATGCGGCTAAAAAAAGTCTGTTTTCTTATTAGAACGAAGCCCCAAGTGCAGGCATGCGTACACGCAGGCCCTGCGCAGTCTGATTTAGATGAAAACCGTCCCCACGTGAGACGCCGCTCATCTTTCATCTCCAATCAGCCATCCTTCATGCTGCAACTTCGTCTCCTGTTGCCAAGCAGCTCTGGAGAATAATTTACACACAAACCTCGGCCGTTACCATGAGGCAGAACACCTGCACATCTGCCTGGGCTTCAAAAAAACGCTCATAGCAGCAATCGAGGCCAACAGAGGAGAGGATCAGAAAACATTAAGCAGCAGAACAAATCTAAACAGCCGCTGAGAGCCGTTCCTGCTGGTTTACGGATGGAAATGATGCAAAAAAAAAACAAATAAGAGGGTTGTAAAAGTGAATAGCAACACCAACAGTGCCTCTGCATAGTTTATTTATTTTTTTTCCGATGTTTTTCTTCTGTTTAGCAGAAACATTTTTAAGTGAAGCTTCATCAAGTTACATTTTGGGTCGTCGAAGGGAACGTTGTTAACGGGCTGGACAGGAAATAAGACGGGCCGGGACGGTTAATCTATTCGACCAAGATGGAAAGAAAGGGAAGTGAAATGAGCAACCAATTCAAAGCTCAGTAGTCTATGAAACAGCCCCGTTTATGTATGAAAACTGTTTCGACGTTTGTGTCATTGCTGGTTTCTGTAAATATGGGAGTGTTTGCTGAAGTCGGTTCTGTTTTCGTCTCCTCTGCCCTCGGCCCTCTCAGCGTCTCCCTCCGCTCAGCCTCAGGTGGTGGAAGGGTTGAAACTGAAGCTTTAATCTCAATCAAGGGTTTTTTCTCAGAAAAATAACTTTTTTTCAGACACACTTAGAACTTAAAAAGCATTTTTTCATCTACTTCATGTCTGTTTTACTTTTAAAGTAATGCTCAGTCCTTCTGCCTCCTCTCCTGTCTGTCCTGTCTTTTACTTTTACCTATGTCCCCATGTCCCTATTTTCCCTTTTCCCTTTGGTTGTTCTGTTCTCAATCAAGAGCTTGAAATGTCTGTTTTTAACATTTGACCATGCCATAATATCACACTGTGTAAACTGTTGACTATTTCTTGCATTTCACAGAATATGATAAGCATTAAAAAACCTTTTTCAAGAAACTGTTTGCCTTTTTAGCAATTTTGCTGTCATGTGGATATTTGTTGCCGCTGTAAGTAATTCAAAATATATTTTTGAAATCTCACATAGTGGCAGACGGCCACAATTTAAACTGTAAAAGGTAATTTATAAAGCAGAGAAGCTGCCAGCCTTCCTGTTTTGCTCCAGGTCCTGTACTATGAGATAACGTTGATGCTTTTTGGACAAACTAGCAAGTGACAGAACTGGTGTGGTTTCCTTTTTTTTTTCTTTGTAGTCCAGGGTGGTCGCCTGCATGACGGCGATTCTCAGTCAGATGGACGATCGCCACTATGCTACATACATCGAAACCTTTGCTGGGAGCTCTGACCTTGTGGTAAGGGTACACACACAAACACACCTGGGGACGTCCGTTGCGTACAAACCCAACACAAGTTCTTCTCCTCTCGCTCACCTCGCTGTAGGACTTCCTGATGGAGTCCTTCCTGCTCTTCAAGGACCTGATTGGGAAACACGTGTACCCCTCTGACTGGATGGCTATGATCATGGTGCAGAACAGGTACTACCAGCACAAAGGTACAGACCCCTCCTTGTTTTGGGGTCTTCCCCCTCTGACTGAACAAGCCACGTTTGTCTGCCTCGACCTGATGAGGAGTCCGAGAACTGGTTCTTGGGCAGTGATGTGCAGGTTAGAAAAATGTCGCTCTGGAACAAAAAAGGGCGACGAGAGGCGACGTCAGTCAGCTGCGAGTAACGAGAACCGATAGATTCGCGCTGAATGACGCCGAACCCATTTGCCACTTAACTTGCATGAAATCACAAATCAATTACACACCTGCACTCAGGGATTGAAGTCACTCCCCGTCTTTGTGCGTTGTAATCTGAGCTTCTCTTTGGCTTGCGTGGGCTCTTCGTGTGTGTTCCCTGCACCTGAGCGTGCTCCACTTTGTTGCTAGTGTTTGCCTTCAGATGGAGATGATAACAACGTGCACCTTGTATAAAGCCTTTGATTCCCCCGCAGGCTAACGCTGTTAGCCCGTTCAGCACTGTGTTATGTGTGTGTGTGTGTGTGTTTGTGTACAATCAACGTATGTGTTTCTCTCCATTAGAGTGTTCCTGCGAGCCATTAATACCTATGCAGACACAATGAACCAAAAGTTCCTCAATAACAACGACTTTGAAGTACAGGTAAGTGTGTTTGTGTGTATTTCTAGGCGTTTACTCATAATATCAAAGATCTCTATTGTCGCTCTCTACATCCCTGCTCTGTGTTGCTTCTCTTCTCCTTCTAGTTGTGGAATAACTACTTCCACTTGGCGGTGGCGTTTATTACCCAGGAGTCTCTGCAGCTGCAGCATTTCTCGTCAACCAAGAGAAACAAGATCCTGGCCAAGTGAGAGAAGGGCCACATCATTTCCTTACTCTCCACACTTAGTCTCTGTTGTCTAATGACACAACTCATTTGCGATCTATTCTGGAGTGTGCATTTACTGTTTACACACCCTCGCCTATTAAAACCGTGTGATGCCCGGAGATAGACATTCAATTTGGTTCCTGTCGAGGCAGGTTCGCATTTTCCCCCTCTGGGGCCCTCAGTTCCCGAAGAGAGAAGTGTTGATCAAAAATGTGGATTTGAAACTAAGCTGACTCTTTCTGTCTCTGTTCATCTCTTTATCACAGATACGGAGACATGAGAGAACTCATTGGCTTCGCTATACGCGACATTTGGTACAAACTTGGTAAGAAGATCTAGTTCGTATAAGACCCGTGACCTTTCAGAGGTCAGCCTGCGAGCTGGGTGGGTCAGAGAGGGCAGCTTTTTGAATTTGGTCTATTGTGCGTGTCTGTTTCAGGCAGTCACAAGATCTGTTTCATCCCCGGAATGGTGGGTCCCATCCTGGAGATGACCTTGATCCCGGAAGAAGAGCTGAGACGGGCCACCATCCCCATCTTCTTCGACATGATCACCTGTGAACACGCACATTCTGGGAACTTCCACAAGGTTTAAACGCACAAACACACTCCCCAAATGTGTATGGGTTCAGAAATGTTCGCACGAGACAAATTTGCCAAACAAATTGACATTTGCACGCTTGAAAAACGCTGGCCCGTGCACACTGTGCACCCCATCGATGTCCTGTGGCACTGCATGGAAGTGAAAGAGACACCCATAGTACAATCGCATGATTTTCTCTTCTATTCCTTGTCTCCTTTGTTTTATTTACTCTACTCTCTCTCTCTCTCTCTCTGCTTCTATAGTTTGAGAACGAGATCATTCTGAAGTTGGACCACGAGGTGGAGGGTGGAGGAGGAGATGAGCAGTACATGCAACTACTGGAGACCATGTAGGCTTCAGTATTGGAATATAAATATTACAGCAAGTTGACAAATTGTACTTTCCGTCGCACGTAAACAAGCAGATAAGAACGAACTGGTGGTTGCTTGTCGTCTGCCAGCCTGCTGGACTGCGTTTCAGAGAAACTCACGCTGAGGTCAGAGGTGCAGCACTTTGTCGCCTTGGTGAAAGGACTCCTCATTCGTCTCCTTGACTACCGTACGGTGATGAACGATGAGAGCCGCAACAACCGCATGAGCTGCACTGTCAACCTTCTGGTGAGTGAAAGAAAGGGAGGAATGGAAAGAGGCCGGTCCTAGACGTTCACACTCACACACACATTCCCACATTGTTAAACTCATTATTATTGAAATGAAGTTCATGAAGGGATGAGAACTTATTATGAAGTGGTTTTGTTCCAAAGAGACCTCGGTCAATAATCTGAGAGCGAACAGAGAGCGAAGAGCCCCACTGATTAAACTGTTAATCATAAAACACTGATTTCACGTCTTGTCTTTCATGTGAAGGTCTTTGTTTCCCGTTTCCTCATTCGATTTGTGTGCTGATGGATCTAAAATCATAAATTCATCTCTGAGTTTGGTCTCCGACAGTTTTTGCAGAGCGTTGCATCAGCTCCTGTCTGCTGCTGCTTTTCCCTCATGTGATGTCCTAATCACATTCTCCCTCCCGTGTACACACGTTCAGATCCCATCTACCATGTGATTGTCTCCACAGAACAATCAAATCATATTGTTCCTCCATAACTTGTTTTTGCTCTTTCATATCTGCGTTTTTTTATTTGGATTCGCCGACATTTAGGAGGATCGGTTAACAATAAATGGTTGTGTTTATGTTGGTATCTATAACGTGTCACATTCCCGTGGCACATGACAGAGATGTTTATCTTCTAACCGGTGGCAGCTGCCCATCAGCTATTCTCTTTAAATAGTTCCGACAGCTGAAAGAATCCCTCCTGCTGGTGAGCTCGTGTTGCTGTTGCAGATAGCTGCTTTCTCCGTGTGAGATCGACTGATTACACCCATTAAATTCAATGGCACTCACCTGCTATGTTGTCGGTTAGAAAAGATGCGCACAGGTGATGCTGTAGACTCTGTTGCATGTTCCAAAGACTATTGGGTGAGAAATCATCTGATGGAGAACCTACAGCAGCACCTTGGCTACTCTCTGAAAAAGCATTGATCCAAACAACTATATGTCTGACCTTTGCAAAAATAAAGTAGCCTCAGATGCCGGATGCTTTGTCTTCACAGTAAACATCACAGTAATTTATTTTTTTTGTTTTTGATTGTTTGTGTGTGTGTGTTTGTTGTGTCTGCTGACTCGTGATGGGGAAGCGCGTTTGGGTGGCAGTTTGTGCTCCTTCACTAACAACTGTGCATGCATGCGCACACGCTCATACGTTAACACGCTCGGGCAATCTGAAACACTCACATACAGTAAATAAAAGATGACAAACTAGTGATCAGTGCAGTGATTCAGGATGATATGCCACACACACTGTGACCCAACTTTTCATTTCATTTTGCAGAACTTTTACAAGGACATCAATCGTGAAGGGATGTACATCAGGTATTTGTGAGCCGTCTTTGACATTAAATACCTTTAAGTGGTGCATTTTTGCTTTGTAAATGATTGTGCGTGCGTGTGTTTCTGAAAGTGTGTGTGTGTGTGTGTGTATGTGTGCGTTTCTGTGTGTGTTGCTCCCTAATCTGACATGGGATTATATGAGTCCCACTGAATTAATGTCAGAATCCACAGGATCAGCTCTTAGTCTGACTGGAGGAGGACGGGATGAGGGCAGGAGGGGGGGGGGGGGGGGGTTCTACAGATCCCGTCAGGTCCCACGTGCATTTCTGGGCATAGCTTATGGACCTCATTAGTGATCTGTGTGTTTTAATGTGAGCTCAACGCTTTGGTTGATCGGTTGCCTCCATCTATCCTGTGGAGAATGCATTTAGCATTTAATGTTTTGCTTATTAACATTAACAAGCAAACACGATTTAATGGAAATGCATTGCTGTATTACCAGAAGCCGCACGCATGGATAATAAGACCTCAAACTAATTGGGATCTGGCCCAGCGTGTGAATTAACAATCATCAAATTTGCATCTTAATTGCTTACATTTATATTGAAAATGAACCTCATGTTATCATGACAAGTGGTTATTCCCTAAACTGTATTATAGTAAATTGAATACATACAATAGTATATTGTCTGGTACAGTCATTCAGTCTGTGTCACGCTCAAAGAGGGTAAAAGACATTCAGTAATGATATAGTCTTACTTTATTAACATATTAAATCGATCCAAAAGGAAAAGATGAATCCTACACTTCACCCCCCCCCCCCCGTGTAAAAGCTTTCCTAACACCCAGCTATGGAAGAATTGGCCTCTTGCCAATGTAATTTTGGTTACCTCATACTAAAAAACGAATCCGTAAACCAGACAACATTCCCATCTTCCTCGTTGTCGGGCTTGTAATACGTTACAGTAGACTTCTTTGTGTGCGCTCCACGTCGTCCACATGTTTAGGGCACGTGTAGGTGTGTGTGTGTGTGTGTGAGACAAAGGCAGCGACCCATTAGTGTGTAAACAAATTAACGCGTACATGCTCCATTTGCTTCTAGCTGCCCAACGGCGGCCTCTAGTGGAGCGGTGTACACGTTGCATGTAAAGGTGAGGTGACCTCTGTTGTATGTGCGTGTTTGTACACGCGTGTTCTCAGGTACCTTTACAAGTTGAGGGACCTTCACCTGGAGGGGGAAAACTACACCGAGGCAGCGTACACACTGCTGCTCCACTCTCGCCTGCTCAAGGTAGGAACCCCCCCTCACACACACACACACACACACACACCTACATTATATGTGCATCTACTGTATTTATTTATAGACGCAGTGTGCTACTCTGTCTTTTATTGGTATTGCCAAGTCTAATGACTTTTCTGTCGGCCACGAGCACGCCAGTGTTTTTTATTGGCTGATGAATGGTCGCCTCGTCTCTGGCCTCCAAAAGATTAAGCCGCAAGGTTTAGTTTATGGCCTCGTATCGGCCGCTGTGGGTGCCTCGCTGCGCTGATTGACTCGCCACATGCATTTCAGTGTGTGTGTGTGTGTGTGTGTGTGTGTGTGTGTGTGTGTGGCCTCTCTTAACGCTTCATCTCTTTAATGGTACACTAAGAGCCCCACGGAGAGGAACAGGGGAATAAGGGCGTCGCTCTCTTTCCCGCTGTCACTCTCCTGCTCTCGCCGTCTAGTATCATTAAATCAAGGCAGTTCAACTCTATAAAAGTAAATGATTATCTCCATTCATCTCCAGTGTCAGTCCTGTCATACTTGCTTCACAGTAATGAAAAGAGCCGTAATCCTCCTCCTCTTCGTCGAAGCTGATAGACCTGCTGCAATAATAGAAGTCCCGCTTGCAGAGATCATTGTGCACTTTGGTTTGGTTTCTAAATGAATTCATGTGTAATCCACGTAATGGAAGATTAACTATTGCCTCATCACAATTAATGAACAGAGTGCTGCATGCATTTTGTGTGCACTCAACTTCTAATTAATGTTGATTTAATACCACAAAGAAAGTCATTTTTTTAGTTGTTTTAGTTTCAACCTCATCATGAGTGGAACGATGAAAAGCAACGTTGCTCTGACTCTTAACTATTCCCCTTTTGTTGTTCATTTTGCCTTCTTTCTGTCTTCATTTCAGTGGGTGGATGAGATGTGCAGTCCCCAGTTTGAGTACCGCGGTTCGCAAACCCAGCGGCAGCTCAAAGAAACCCTCTACGACACCATCATCGACTACTTTGACAAGGGCAAGGTCAGCCTGGATTGAGCCTGCAGCTCTTTATCAAAAGATCACCATCGTGGCGCAATGTGATGATTCGAAGAGGGTCCATCTGTCATCAGAAACGGGCTTTTTACAGAGGCCCTTAGATTCTTTTGTAGAACGATTGGGAAAAAAAGTGTTCCTTACATAGTCGTCGTCGTTGCATAGTCTCTGAGCATCGATTAGGGTTCTATGTTCCCTAAAGCGATGGAAGAGATCTGGAAACAGAGATTTCCACCAGATGAATTCCATCCACGATAGCTGGTGCCAATCCATGAGCAGATGGTGTAATGAAAGAGCCTTCTTCCTCCCCTTCGTGTGTGTGTGTGTGTGTGTGTGTGTGTGTGTGTGTGTGTTTAGATGTGGGAGGAGGCCATCACTCTGTGTAAGGAGCTAGCAGAACAATACGAAAACGAGATCTTTGACTACGAGTTGCTCAGCAAGAGACTGGTAATATAAACACTCACTGTGTACTTTCTGCACACTATTCCATGCATTTCATTGTCTCCTCCTTTTTCTTCTAACTTCCCTTAATAAATATGTAATAGATGTCCCTGGGTGAAAAAGTGTGCGTTTGCAGCAAAGGAAGAAACCGTTTAAGTGTTAAGAGAGCGGCAGTAAGATCGCTCACCTAAAGTTCACCTGTGTTTTACTGCTCCCTGAGTAATTTGTTCAGCTGCCAGGCTGTGACAGTTTCCTGAAACTCAGACAATATTATTCCCAGTCAGCAGTTTTCCACACTAAGTTAGGCATCTACACTCGTAGGAAACTAGCAATGATTCAGCACCACCGTTCGCCCATGTTTGAACGTGAAATCTTCCTTGACACAAATGGTTTCTGAGGAGCTCTGGTTCGAGCTTCCTCAATGATCACATGACTCCCAAAGCGCGATTCTTCATTGGAAATCATCAGCAACTTAAAACTACTCCCAACTCAGCACTTTGTCCACTCAAATCACTTTTCTCTTCCTTCCATCCGTTGCTTCAACCGTACGGCAGACTTGATTTGATCCATTCTCACATCCAGCACCACCCTCTCTCCCTTTTCCTTTTTACACAAATCTCTTTCTTCACATGACTGCAGCAGTGGCCTTCCCTGCTAATGTAGCAAGCATGTAATTCTATAAAGCGCAGACGGTGCCCTTGGATGTTGTGCATCCTGTTTTTGCTCCATCAGTCTCCCTCAGAGGGCCACTGTTCTGCAGAGTGTAGCTGTGCCGTTGGCGCAGGCTGATAACACTGTTGCACACAGTTGACTGAAACACATTCTCTCTCTCTCTCTCGCTCTCTCTCTCTCCCGCTCGGCAGGAGAAACAAGCCAAGTTCTATGAAAACATCATGAAGATCCTGAGGCCCAAACCAGACTACTTTGCAGTGGGCTACTACGGCCAGGGCTACCCTCCATTCCTCAGGGTTTGTGTTGGCCACTGCTTGTCGGCACTAAAAGTGAACTGTGGTACAACAGAAGTTCTCATTTCCGGAGAACGGAACAGAAGTAAACAGATTGACACCGTGTGAGCAGCACCTACGCGTCGCACCTTGTGATGAATGACGTTGTAGGAGAGTAGTTTTATATGCGTTCTTAGCACTGAACTAAGGTGTTCACCAGCGGTTCATTAACAGACGTGAAGTGAAGAACATTACGGGAACCTGGTAGATTTCAGCGAAGTGCAGAGAACAAAATGTTCCACTGTTTATCGCCCCTTTATGTGTTAGATGTGTTTAACTAGTGGGGTAATGAGTGTGACGGGATGGGGGGGGGCAGGGTTTAGAAAGGAGACAAGGTATAAGCCCACTTTGATAAATATGTGCAGTGTGTACCAACTACACTCTCTGTCCTCTATGGAAAATACAAATTTTCCCCCGCCTGATCGCCAGTGAAATAAGGGCTGAGGCTGTATATTTATCAACACCGGTACATCTCCTGTGGCTGCAGAACAAGGTGTTTATCCACCGAGGGAAGGAGTATGAACGCAGAGAGGACTTCCAGAACCAGCTGATGAGCCAGTTCCCCAGCGCCGTGCGCCTCAACACCACCACCATCCCGGGAGACGACATCAGGAGCTCTCCGCTGCAGTGTATCCTTCTGCAGGCATCCCTCCGCCTTCAGGAAAGTAGCGGCTGCAGGGGAATCGTTCCGCATTCTCGGGTTACCCAACTCCAACGGTCTGCACGTCGACGTGCCGTTGGTGCTTCACTTCCCACTGCTGCCCGTGCTTTGGCTGGTGAACGCAGGTCATATTTAGCTTTTGCATACGGCGGGTCAAGTGAAGTAAACCCTTTTGATGAATAGATGTATGGAGAAAATGAACATATTAATTAGTATGGAACTATTTGAACTCCATAGTATTTGATTTTTTTTTTTTGTGAAAAAGGGCAATAAAGCAGATGTTTCCTCAGGTTTGATGTTGAGCCTCTTTGCTATGTAGTATTTTTTTGACACTGTAGAGTGACGTTAGAGCCATTTTATGATTTCAGAGGGAACGTATCGTTTACTCTTATTGCTCTAATCTTATAATAAAACCCAGCCGCTTGGGGTGTGATGTATCTCTCAGTTATCAGGCCATATGTTCTGACACAGGGGTGTAGAGATGACCCTCTAACACGGAGTGGGGATTTCTTCCTGAGTGATCTGAACCAGATATCCAGTGTTTCACAGTGAAATCGGTGCTGGAGATTCCTCCACGCCTGAAGAACAAACCTGTTCCCGATCAGATAATCAAGTCTGTGAAACAGCGTGTTTTACTCTTCATATATTGATAAAGACGTGTGACTTTCTGTAACATAATATACATTTTAGTCTTTGCATTTTGACTTTTACCTCTTTACACCTTGCGCAGCTTCTACAAGTCCAACTACGTGCAGCGTTTCCATTATTCCCGACCGGTCAGGAAAGGACCTGTGGACCCAAACAATGAGTTTGTTGTGAGTTTTGTTGCAAAACGGCCCATTAATCACAATTGTGTTCAACCATCACTAACTTTCAGTCCAGCACATGAATGTGTGAATTCCAACGTAAACTAGTGTACCATTAAACCCTTGAGTACAACAAGCCTCTGAATAGGACTCTTAATATAAGATATTGTATATTGTTATGAGCCTACACTCACTTTATTGCTTTCCTTTTCTTCTTCTTGTTTTTATTCCCGTGTTTAAGTCGATGTGGATTGAACGCACAACCTTCACCACTGTGTATAAGCTCCCAGGGATCCTCCGCTGGTTTGAGGCTACAGACATGAAACATGTAAGTATGTGTGCGTGCGTGTGCGTGCGTGCGTGTGTGTGTGTGTGTGTGTGTGTTCCTTAACCCACACCCCACCCTCTGCTCCTCTCCCCAGACTACCTTGTCTCCATTGGAGAACGCCATAGAGACAATGGAGTCCACCAATGAGAAGATTCTGACCATGATCAACCAATATCAGGCTGATTGGACCCTCCCCATCAACCCGCTCTCCATGCTGCTCAATGGCATTGTGGACCCAGCGGTCATGGGCGGCTTTGCCAAGTATGAAAAGGTAAAATCAACCCAATTTATAACCCTTTGCTACCACATATTGCTCCTATTATTTTATAATAGCAGTATTGGAGTTTGTTACTACCCTTTTATTTTGGGCTGGATTTTAATAGGCTATAAAAATCTCATGGAAACTGCTTGGAAAAAGGTTCCCCATCTCGTTAAAACGTTTTTATTTACATGTGAAGACTATCTGAGCTTTGGAGACATCTGTATCACTTTGTGAGGCTTTAATTACACATGAATAAAATCATCTTCAGTGTTCTTAAATCACGCTTCGGATGAATTCACTGTGAACTGAGCCTGGACCAGTGATATACATATTCAGTATTTTTCATTAGTTTCAAACTGTCCCTCCGTATCAGGCCTTCTTCACCGAAGAGTACAATCAGCAGCACCCAGAGGACCGAGATAAACTGATGCGCCTCAAAGACCTCATCGCATGGCAGGTACTGGACACCGCTACACACACGGTTGAATACATGTACACGCCACATATGTACAGTAGCTCTTGCGTCCATGCGGTTGTTCTGTTACGACACCATACACCATAACGACACCATAACGTTTGCATTTTATAGATCCCGTTACTGGGTGGAGGGATATCTCTCCATGGGAAGAGGGTGATGGATGACCTGCGTCCTTTCCACGAGCGCATGGAGGAGTGTTTCAAGCAACTGAAGAAGAAGGTGGAGAAGGAGTACGGAGTGAGAGAGCTGGTGAGAACTGGGGGGAGAGAACAAATGTTGGGCAGCAACTTTGGACTAAAGCGGGCTGTTTCTCTGTAATGAGGCCCGGGCTGTTTTTTAAGATCAAAACACCTCCAAAGCTCTTCAGTGTATTGTTAATGTAGGATTTGTACCTTTTTAAATTCTCTACAACCACAGCGTGGTTGCGATGGTCTGAATGGGGCTGAATGAGGTCATTAACTAAGGGTAAGTGTGTGGGGCCCTTGAGGAACGTTCGACTAATGATGAGCAGGAGTCATGTGATGTTTTCATAACCAACTCCTCTTGCTTTTGCTGTTATTACATTTTCAAACGGTGTTCTGTGTTTCACAGTCATGATCTATAGTAGTATCAGCAAAATATAATCAATGTCGCATTGTAGTATTGCCCAATATAACAATGTTAAATTCTCTATTTCCAGCCAGAAATGGATAACAGGAAGTCCAGCCGTCCGCGCTCTGTGCTGCGAACCTTTCGTCAGTCCATCATCTCCATCTCCTCGCTGCAGGGATCTGAATGTGGGACTCCGACCAGGCTCCATTCAGACAGGTAGCCCGGCCGTAAACTCAAACCATCATTTTATCAAACACTTTTTAGGTCCTCAAATGTTGCGATGTTGTGAGGTGGAGCTGGACTCTACTGTCCCGTTGACCGGTACCCGGACGAGGACCACCAAAGGAACCGGTCAGGTCCACTTCAATGCAGACGCACTGGTTTCATAGTCCATGTGGGCGTCCCTGTCCTCCCTTTTCCGTTCAAACAAACCAACAGCTACAACGTTCTGCTGTCTGACTCCCATCACATGGGCCAAATGGTGCAATCCTCCTAATCCCTCCGCCAGCAGAGTTGTTTGTCAATCCTGCTGGAGCTCTCATGGATCCCTGATCATCACAAAACACATCAAATCTAAATCTCCACATTGGGCTGTGGTACTGGACGTTTTAGCCCACTGCTCTCTCTCCGTCAACAGAGACATAGTCTTTGGGCAGCCGGAGTCTGTTGATGCTTCTAGGAGGCACCTTAAGAGCCACTTTCTTTCTGTTTTTTTCTGTTCCACAACGTTGTGAACATGAAAAAATGTCACAGTCAAGCCCCCTTTTATTCACACCTCACACCCTTTATGCCCCCTGACAGGGACAACCCTCCAGACTCGCCCTCCTCCTGGAACTCCACCTTGCCGCGCTCCAGCGGCAGTGTGAGCGCGAGTGTGGGTGCGGGGGAGGGGATGGTGACGGTGGGCGACGCAGAGGTGAAGCTGAGGAAGAGTAAGAAGAAGAAGAAGAGAAGCAGCATGATCTTCATCACGGAGGAAAGAGAAAGGACACAGACGCTGGACTGCAAACGGGTGAGACTGGTCTCTGGGGGGGAGGTAGCTCCTGGGATGAGAGGCCAAGGGTAGAGAGAGAGAGAGAGAGAGAGAAGTGACTGTCTGTGGAAGCGACGTTGCAGAATTTCTTGTGATCTCTGTCTCCCTCTAGCTGTCCAAGAAACAGGAGTTCCGCAGTGACACCAACTTGGCCGATCCAGGCGAAGGCAACGTGTCGCTGACCAACGCCAACTCCAGATCGCTGCCTGCCATCACAGGTGACGAACGTACACAAATTCATGAGGTCACATTTTTCACTCAGTGCAAGGAAAAACACATAAAACACACGGTCATGGCAGGAATATGCCTGTTATGAAAGTAACCGGTGTCTGAAAACAAATGCTGTTGCAGTAATGGCCGGACCTCACAGCAACTCTTGGAGCAAGGTGGCAAATTAGTGCGTCCGTTCCGGTTGATTGTGATCGTTTCAGAAACGCTCACCAACCTCGTCCAGTTGACCCGCCGCACCTTCACACAGTGTGAAAGTGTCTCTGGCACCCTGCCATGTTGGTCCAGGCCAGCTGAGTCAGCATCGCCGACCGCAGGCTGCACGGCCTCCTCGCGCGCGGTGACTACACAGTTCATCAGCAGGACATCGGAAGAGTTATTCACCTTAGATAGTCCGGCTGCAGGAGGAGGTTCATTGCGTGAAGATGCAAACACTAAATCCTCACTTGTCTTTTTTCTCCGTCTGGAGGTCTGTCCTTGGCAGTGCTTGGGGGCGCAGAGGAGGTGGACTCTGTCCGAGCCAGGAGGGACAGTAAGAGCATGTCCGTCTGCGTGACCTCTGACCGGACAGCTGACAGACGCTCAAAGGGCGTCATCAACCTCCTCTTTAAGTCCAAGGTGAGGCCAACACGTTGCACGTGGTCCCAAATAGAAACACCAGGCTGACAATTTAGGATCAGACCTGCAGTTTGGGTGTATTGATAACATATATTATATATAACATATATTTTAGGTATGTATTCATATCAACGTTAACACACTCAGCTATTTTAACACCCAACTAGCATTACAACTTTTCTTTACACTTTGACTTCTTTTTTTCAACAGAGCTCCAAATCAGAGGATGTGAAGCCCAGTGATTCAGCCAAAGGCGATGCCAATCATTTCTGAATTCTTTTATGTTCATTTTTTCATGTATTTTTTATTTTTATTTTTTTTACAAAGAAGTTCACATAAACCTTCAAGCTAAAGCAAATCCTGCACACACACCCTCACTCAGTCTGACTGAGAGTCCCGGTGTTGCTCTTGTCTTAATATAATTGATTTTAGCTGTCAATAAAGACATATTTTTGTGGCATGACCTTTTCCTGCTAATTCAACTGATTCCCAGTGAAGCTAAATGCCATCTTACAGCTTTTCAATCAATTCTGCTTCTACAAGAATGAGCAAACACAAACCATCCCGCCACGCCGCTTGATTAAAGGCCGCCTTATTACACGTTTTCCCTCATTGTTGGGACGGACTGAGGTTAATGAGAAAATAATCACTTGATGAAGCACAAAGGTTTCCCGTGTCATCCCAAAGGATGAAAATTTAAACAGGCAGCCAAAAAGCTTTGGCGCTGATACAAAAAACAAATCTAATGAATTGGAGAAAGCTGTGGTTCCTACATTTTTTGTGTGCACAAAGAGATGAGACACAACTGTTTTTTTTTTTACCAAAATCATGATGTATATTTTGTTGGAACAACAGTTTACTTTTGATCTAAGATCTTAAAAATGTAAGGGAACCATTGGTTTTGCTCATCGACTCCTTGCTCTAGTTTAATCAGATCTGTCCCAGTCATTACAAAATCATTGAGCTTTTCTACAAAAAGCTTTTATTTTCTTAAGTTAGAGTAAAAGTTATGTTGCATTAAAAGTAGTACAATATATTAAAAAATGTCACTGCGTGAGAGTGAGTAAACACGAGTTATTGCTGAGACGCCTACGCTCTGGATCCGAGGAACCCAAAAGAGTGTTGCGCTGATTTCCTCTTTTCTCCTGCAGCAGAAGGAAGCCTGTTTGTAGGAGAAACGTTTGCAGCCTGAAGGCCAGTTATAGACCTTCTGTTGTACAACCATTGTTACCCCGCTCTCACTCAGTGTGTTGGTGGCACCACACAGGCTCCGACAACACGCAGGTCCACCCTGGATCCGCTCAACCAAACCCTGTTCTGACAGCAAGAAAATGAGGTGGGCCAGATATTAGCCTGAGCCTTTCTTTCTTTTACATTACATTACACGCTGATGCTTTTATCCAAAACGACTTGCATTGCATTTTTAACCCAGCATGGCTTTTTACATTTTTGCCCGGGGAGCATTTTGGGGGGATTGCTCAGGGACACTTTGACATGGGACATGGAGCAGCCGGGGCTCAAACCACCAACCTTGTGGTTCCCAGCACACCCTCTCTACCCCTGCGCCATGACGACCATTGTCTTTAGTGACATTTGAATCAAAATATTAAGATCAACTGTTTGAAAGAGCAGCGAGGCTCTTGAACATGTGACCAGTGCAGTTAATGAGAGGCATCACCTCCATTGTAAAAAGTTAATTTCCTTATTAAACATCATTTTCAATTAGGCAATTTGAATGATTCATTGTAGATTCATGAATATCTCCCGTTCGCCCTGTGGTGGTTTTATTTCCTCACAGACTCTGCTCAATCTCAAAGGAGGGCAGACATTCAGAGGGTGATTCAGAATGATGGATAAATGTTCCTTATTATTAATACTGCCATAATTTGGTGCCAGACAGACCACAAGATTTCTCCACTGCCGATTTCAACTTACAGAATAGCACCATAGAATATATATATATATATATATATATATATATATATATATATATATATATATATATATATTCATGATTAAACCACGGAGCGACTTTAGTCCAGGATCATCCATCTCACTTCAGCATGAAAGTGAGAGGCTCAGTCTAAGAACATGCTGTGTGTGTTTTCACAAGGAATGAAAGCGCTGCGTCGGACCAATTAATCAATCAATTGCCGGATAAATACCGATACATCAAATATTTGATGTGGGAGGGGGGAATGTGTAACAAATTGCATTTTAAAAGGAAAAGAATCACGCTCAAGATTTATTTGAAAACTGTAACTCATTCATGGCCCGTGGCTATATTCATTATATTCACATCAAAGTTAATGATCTCGCTCTGTGGCTTCTTTGGTATCAAGACGGAAAACACGTCAAAAACTCACAACTCCTGCGGTTATTATTCAGTGTTACTTTGAGCCTTTGAAGGCACGACAGATGCTTGTGAGTTTGAAATGTTCTTTGGAGCTGTGTGTTTGTCTGGTGATATTACGTTTAATAATATTTGGTTCATGCGCTCAAATGGAATCTTGCCTGCTGCACTTGAAAGACTTCTTCTTATATACAGCTGCTCGGATCATTTCAGTAACTCACTCTGCTGAGTTACTTAAATCAGAACACTTTGTTTGAGTTTGAATGCGTACATATTAAAAACAATGAAATACACACCAATCAAGAGATACATCTTACAGAAAACTGCACATGATGTTGTATTAAGACTCAAGTCAGCAGTAGATTTTAAACACAGAGTAATCTCGCTTCCACAAAGTAGTACACCTGTTTTATAGGAATGTTAGGTTTGTGAAACAGAAAGTTTAACGTACTATTGTGTGAAAGAGACAGAATATATTTACTCGTCTAATGTAAATATATTGACCACTATATATTCCCCCCCACAATGAATACAAATACCTGTTATAACGTCAACTGTATCACAAGTCTCCGACAGACGCAGGCCTTTACGCATACAATCACGGAGGCCTGGATTCATACTTACAATACAACAATATATATAAACAAAGCTGTTTCCGCTTCTCCCAGAAAGTTAAAATCATCAGAGTTTAATGAGTTGATCCGTCGTTAGATATTATTAAAGCATGTGCGAACACAAAACTCATTTATCTCGGACGCAGCGAGGCGGTCGGCGCATTATAGATTGAGCTCACTGTGGCGTTTCCACTATCCATCCAAACTGTGCGCAGGTGCACAGAGCTGCCCGGGATCCGCATCTCTGGAGGGCGGCAGACGCGCCTGAGCGGGTCCGCTCTGTCAGATGTCCTAATAGGTTTCATCGGCAAACGGTCCGGCCACGGACTGAAGGGAAGAGGCGATAAAGTCGGTCATTTGAAAACAGTGAAACTAATGTGTGTGTGTGTGTGTGTGTGTGTGTGTGTGTGTGTGTGTGTGTGTGTGTGTGTGTGTGTGTGTGGCACAGTGGAGGCAAGCTCGTTAAATTATGGATCAGCACGGCAAATTCCTCTTAAGCGTTTTCGTTGTTGCAATGATTGTATCAGTGTCATGAGGAAAAACTACCGCCGCCAACCTGAGGAGCTCATGTCCCTGAGCGCGATGAGAGCTGTAGTTATGACATCTGTCCTCCAGGGGGCAGTAGGATGCAAGGATTTAAAGAGAAAAGAATGACTACACAGATTATTGGTGTGGATCCTCAGAAGAAATGTGATAAATCCTCTGATGAACCATCCTGGTGACTGAGTGAATGCATTGGTCTGCAGGAGAGGAGAAGTAACTTTCTGCTCATCTCATCTCCTGGTAAGCATCATCAAGGTGGCATCTAGTTGAAACGCAAATGGTAACTTTACATCCTCACATACCTGAATTGATCTTCACGTGTGTGACATCTTAAAAGGAGTGGCTCAAATTGGCTACAAGATATTTTTATATGTCGTCTTTTTGCCACATTTTCTCCGCTCTCGGTTTGCCATTGGTCAGCAACGTTTTTCATCTATACTGCCATTTTTACAGCTAAGGTCTTACAATCAAACAGTCGGGGTTGGGGAAGACTATGAACTGTCACATCAAAATGTGTACTTGATGTCTGGTATTTCTGGTAAGCCTCCAGTGTAACTCCTTCTGTGGTTGCAGGTGAGATGCATTTCATATGCACATATATGAAAAGCTGTCTTTTGTTGTTGTTGGACACATCATTTGGTCTCTTCACAATTAAAAAAGTGGTTGGAAAGGATTCATTTTTTAACATATTTTTCTTTAGATATTCCCACTCCAGCCTGAAGAGGGCAGTGTTGCCAGCAGTGAGCGCTTCCATTCTGCTTGGATCTGAGGCTATTAGATGAAGGTTGAGCAGCGTGTCCGACTCTGACCCCATGAGAACTGCAGGGCATGAAATATGCACAGTGTAATTGGAGCCGTGACGTTGGGGAGTCATGACAGACGGCGAAAGGAACCTGGCAGAACTTTTGGGGAGAAAAATATTCCAAAGCTTTGTTGCATATTATTATCATTTGATTTGAGCTAATTTAATGTAAGCCAGTCCCCTGTGTCCTCGACCCAGGGCCGACTGAGGACACGTCAGTGAAGCAAATCAATCGCCCCCATGTTCTATGAGCCGTGCACAAGCTGTTGGGCCTTTTGCCAAGTGCATTCTAGGATTTGTGTTGTACTCCATCATGTGACCTTCCCTTCTTTCGGCCTCCTTGGTTGGATTGAGGACGCTGATGCGTTAGGAATGAAGGCTGTTAAATAACCAACACAACACGCACCTTATCAGCCGTGCGCCTCCTCTGCCTTTCTCTCAGTGGACCTTCCTCCTTTCGATTGTCTCCTTCTTGTCACTTACTGTCAGCACTTAGTAACCTCGATTTACTCTTACCAGACCATTTTGTTTTAAATCAATGACTTTTGACACTCTCTCTACACGTTCAACAATAGCTGATGGGGGAGCAGAAATTGGCAGTTTGGGGCGCCTTTGTAATCCTTAATCTGAGAGCTCGTCAACACATGTCGTGCTGATTACGCTCCCTCTTTGTGGAAATACTCACCAGAATGCATGTGATTGTAATGTTCCATAATGTAATATGCTCCTGCAGGCTTACGGGTGGATAATGTACATGTTTAATATAGTGCAGCGCATATACTGGTTAATATATACTGCATCATGTTGTTTAGCCTAAAGTTGCAGATGACAGCGTGCATGAAATATATTAAAGTTTTGCAGGACTACTGACAGATTTCAACAGGCAGTTAAAACTCAGAAGTACTGTTAATGACACTTGACACAACCTCTGTCCTGAATTGAGACAGCTATATTGATTTGGTACCCTGCAAGCTCTGATTCACTAAGCTCTATGCAAAATTGAAATTCCACAACATCAAAGTGAGAGCAGGCATCATGTTCAGAGCTGCAGCATCCAGTACATGATCCAATCAATGTCCCACAGGCTGCGAGACAATTGAGACATTGCAACTGAACGCTAGCACCTCAGAGTCTGTCTCCCATGGTACTTT